GACCCCAACTTTGGGAAACATTGGTGTAGATTAGAACATACTTCATTGTGTAGAACATACTTCATTGTGTAGAACATACGTCATTGTGTAGAACATACTTCATTGTGTAGAACATACTTCATTGTGTAGAACATACGTCATTGTGTAGAACATACGTCATTGTGTAGAACACACGCCATTGTGTAGAACATACGTCATTGTGTAGAACACACGCCATTGTGTAGAACACACGTCATTGTGTAGAACATACTTCATTGTGTAGAACATACGTCATTGTGTAGAACATACTTCATTGTGTAGAACATACGTCATTGTGTAGAACATACGTCATTGTGTAGAACACACGCCATTGTGTAGAACATACGTCATTGTGTGGAACATTAGTATCTGTAATATCCGCTCCGGCCGACAGGCGGCAGCAGCGACGCAGCAGCAGGCGTGTCTCTTCCTCCTCGCTGTGAAAGAAGGAAGCTTCGTCTTGTTACAACAAAAGTCCCGCAGAGAGAAATTAATTCGGCCATGGAGGTTCCTGGACCGGACAGCGACTGGAGGAGCCCGCAGTTTCGGCAGAAAGTCGTGGCTCAGATGTGAGAAACGTTGCTTCTTTCTCCGGGCTTCAGCTCAGCTCCTGTAAGCTAGGCTAACGTTAGCTTGTCGGCTAGGTGAAGCGCAGCATCCAAAACGAAACATTAAAAAACAAAAGTGAAAATCGTCCTGTTGGTTGRGTCCATAAATCTGATCTGAAGTGTATTAATGACGTCTAAAATCATTACTAAATTCGGCTTCACTAAATTTAACTAAATTACTATGAAAGCGATTTTCTAATCAGTTTTGAGCTTCAATAAGAATCGAAATATCTGTTAATAATTTTAACCCTTTTAAAGCTTATTCCGATTCAACCAACATATCCATCTGTCAGTGAACAAGCTGCAGATGAGTGTTTTAAGAGTAATATTGTAAGTAAAATATTGCCAAGTTTAATATTTACATTGGAACCCGATTAAATCTATTTTAAATTTGACTTTCRTCAACAGAACTAAGGATTGTTTATGATGTTTTATATTAGTTATATTTGTCTTATTGTTAATATTAGTTATTACAGATGATTAACTTTTTTTTAAAGTTTGTTTTGCTGGGAGATGATAAATAATACCAGGATGAGATGAAAAATGAATAAAAATGTAAGAGTAAGACTCTCAGCTACACAGGTAAATGTGTTTTATTTGTCATCAGTACATGTTCCTGCAGGATGTAAYGTGTGCTCTGCATTTGACCCATCACACATGAGAAACACCAGGTGGAGCAGCGGGCAGACACGTGAACACCTGGGGAGCAGTTGGGTGTCTTGCTCAAGGACATGTGGGCATGGTCGGGTGTCAAACCTGTGACTTTCTGGTCCCAAGTCAGCTGCTGTACCTCTACACCACAGCCACTCACTACCACTTTATATTTGAGCTCAGTCTCTTTAAAACAGAGTTTTAAGTGTGTGTTTGTTAAGTCAGTTGGCCGTGGCGGCCATCTTGAATCAGGTCTGTGTTTGATTTTCCCTCATTGTTTATGATTGGTTCTTTATACCTCTGGTTAGATATTTTGCTTCCAGGTACACGGACACAAGCAGTTACATGATGGCCCATGTTTTACAAAAACAAGTCAGAAAAACACCAGAAACAGAAACAAGGACAGTTTAACATCTGTTGGAGGAGCTCCTGCTAAGATGCTGTCCTTCATTCAAAATGGCTAAAATACTTTAGGCCACGCCTCCAGGAGACGTTAATGTTGATTCTCATGTTAAACATGTGGACCTCAGGTAAAATCTGTACCTGGAACTGTTTGGACCAGTGTTTGGTCAAAGTGCAGCAGAACCAGGCTCTAAAACCAGTTCATGTTGTGGAGGAGGAGGATAAATCCAAGAACACGTGGAGATAAATGTTTACGGTGCCTCGGTTCTCTCAGGTCATGTGACCGGACTGAAGTTTAATGTGTTTTTTATTGTTTTCTATTTTCCCAGTGAAGACGCCATGAGGAAGGCAGGAACGGCCAACACCACACACAAGTCTGGTACCGACATGGAGAACCACGTCTACATCAAAGCCAAGACCAGAGTGAGTCTGACCRAGAGGAAGATGATGTGTGATGAAGATGCTCTTATTGTGAAAGTGACCTGATGTTTGTTTCAGGAGGAGTACTTGTCTCTGGTGGCGAGGCTCATCATCCACTTCAGAGACATCCGTGAGTACTGACCCACTGTTTCCTGTGAAGTGTTTTGTTCTRGTGACACGTTGTTGTGTCTGACTCTAATCAGAGGTGTTGTTGTGTTTGTGTTACAGACAGGAAGGCTCTGGGAGGATCAGGTAGGTGTCTTTTTGGTCTCTGGTTGTGTTTCTCTACCTCAGTTTTGTCCTGAGCTGGACCTGTCTCTGCTGAATTCATGGCGGCCGTGTTTATATGGGATAAATCTTGTGCCAACAGGAAGTGAATTTGAATTGCTCAGATTGAATCTGAATGTTCATAATTTGAAATTGAATGCATTTGTTTGAAAATAAATTTCACTAAATTAAAACTGAATTTAAAGT